TCCAGTCATTCATCCATTTTTCTCGATGAAAGAGAGAAAAGAAGTGGAAACAACAGAAAGTGAAGAGATTATTGATTTATTGCCATCGAATAACGAAACAAAGGATGAAGTAAATGTTCAGAGTGATGCACCTATTGCCATCAGTGACTATCAACGAGACGAAGAGATGTCATCTTCAACAATCAAGAATCAAGTAGAAGAGCACCAGTCGAGATGCGAGTTAGCCTGTTGTTCCTCATCAACAACGTATGTGCCAGCTCTCGTGTCGAATGTGCATATGTACTCCAGCAACAATCAAAACTGTCGATCACAGCACAAATTGGCATCGTTACAAAGAAGCAATAGAAACAATTACGACGATTATTTATGACCGAAGTCTCAACATTAAAATATCTTCTGTGGCAAGGTATGACTTTCCGAGGGTGTACCAAAGGTAAAGGAAACCTATTTCAATTGATAAAATTGAGATGCGATGATATTCCGGGTCTAGTTGAATGGTTGAACGAAACGAAATATTTTTCTCATCATATTATCAATGAATTAGCCAAGGAAATGGCGCTTTTTATACTGAGAAGTACGTCTACAGACAAGAAATTTAAAACTTGGACTTTTTGACAAAAATATTTATTGTTTTTATGTAATGTAGATTTCGAATCGACCGTTTTATACTCTCCTCGGCGATGAATCCACCAAAACACAACTGAGTGGCATATATAATGATGTTGCCGCCAATATTCTTCAAAAATCAAAGAACGCACACTTTGTTCACTGCAATGCACAATGTATGAACTTAATATTGCAAGATTTAACAAGAGACTCTGTTATAATTGACATAGCTCGCAATTTTTACAAAGGATATTATTCAATTTGTTCGAAAGTCATCTGAACGATTGAATATCGTGAAGAAACCTATCGACTGATTTATCAACTTTTTTTCGAAAATCTGAAATCTTTGTGTTCCACTCGATGGATAGTTCGAGTATCATGAATGACCTTTTTGTTGATGAATTATCAACTTACCAAATAAGTCATGCAAGAGTTAGTTGAAGAAAAGAGTGAGCTGGCAATCAAAGCGACTGGGTGGTTGAATCAAATGGAAAAGTTTCAAACTTATTTTGGCCTGAATGTAAATAAGTTCACTTCTAGAATAATTTCTTCTTTACTGACAACAAACTAAAATTGTTTGTCACAACTTAGAAATCTTTAGAGAAGTTATTTGTGATTATTTTACTAAACAATCAAATTAATTTTCATCTCTTAGGCCACTTTATTTTCGCACCTACCGAAGAAATTTCTTGCTCGTTGCAACGTATTGACAATCATCTAGGCGATGCATTGTCTGTCGTCGACGTCTTAGTCAACTATTTCACTTGAATTAGGGCAGACGATCATTATAAATTTTTCTATGCGAAATTATTGAGTGAATCCAAACATTACACTGATGAGTCAAGGCTACCACGTGTTCGTCGACGACCAGCTCGATTCGTCATAGAAGGCACTTCAACACCGGAAAACTATCAAACTTGTGACAAATTTTACAAGAAACAATATTAGCATGTGATTGATAATATTCTCAAAACATTGAACAGCCAATTCAAACAAACGATTTTTCTTGTGTTATGCCAAGTTGAAAAAGTTTTTGATCGTGCTCGCGAATGGTTCTCATGCCACCATCGATAATCATGAACGATTAAAGCATGTATGTCCTATGATTGGAGATTTCTGTCGAACCGTAATGTACGACAAATAGATGAAAATTGTAAAAATAACAAAACTTTCGACAATTATCGATGTTATGAGCAAGTAGCTTATTGGAAAAACAATGTTTCATCAGTATAGTTGGCTCTTATATCTGTATCTAACGATATCTGTAACTAAAGCTACAACAGAAAGATCATTTTACCGATCGACAATGGCACAAACTCGTTTGAACAGTGCATTTCTGACCCATATTTACAAGAAGAAGGTGGATTCAATTCACTTGAACAGTATTTGTTCTACGTTTTCATTCAGACACGAACAAAGAAAACGGTTCTGTGGTACTTTTTAATCATATCTATTTTTTATTCGTTTATTCTATTGATTTACTGAAGTTGATAAAAGAGCTTTGCTTGATGCTGCAATAAAAGTTTATCTGTCAAAATTCAATGGATCAGAAGAAGAAAACATTATGAGCCTCACCTAGATTCAAGACGCTCCGCCGCCTATGGATAATTGATCAATAGTTGAATGTTCAACATTATTTGATGATTGTATTGAATAATGTTTAGATTCAATAGCTGGTCGAAGTAGACCATAGTGTTTTTGATCTCCAAAATGATTATTTGAATCATAGGAATTATATGATTATTGTGTATCAAAATGATTTTGATGATTGATTTGCGAATTGTTGCGCGTCTGTTTGCTTCAGTAGAACAACTTGTGCTTCTCATAATGAGTACTTTTTATCTTAGAAAAAGAGTGTTTTCTTTTTAAACCCACACCTAAAACTTTTAACAAAAATAAAACGACATAAGACATTTATTTCCTGTAATGTTTACCTAATTTTATTATTCAATATATTATTAGCAACAACACAACCAACAGCATCAGATATCCTATTTGAATACATATTTCGCATTGGAAAATTGTCTTAGTCGTTTCCTATGTATACACCAATCAAAAATGGATGTTTTTTTTAATTTTTTTTGTTAATATATCGAAGAAGGTAAAAGCTATTTTAACAGTATCAACCTGTACGGAATCATCTTCTGTATGATATTCTCATATTTAAAATAAAAATAAAAACAAAATAATATCACTTTTGTTATAATATATAGCAAATCTTAATGTGTCTCGTCTTTATGGATAGAGGATGAAATTTAGAACAAAGTGTTATGTCAACTTTCATTTGATATCATCTTGTTTCATAAAATATATATCCACTCTTCTGTTGCAGATTCAATAAGCTTTTTTTACCTATGTTATTTCTAGTGTAACATAGTGAAAGATCTTAAGAGATATAATTGGTTTTGGTTTTAAATGTAAGAAAAGAGTTCCCTACTAGTTTACATGATTAAAAACAACTTTTAATATTTTTTAATTCATGAATAAGACAGTACAAGATCGTCTGTCTTTATATATTCTGACTCTTCGTTCTCAAGATCATTACAACAGAAAATAATAATTTTCGATGCATATAGCTAGTAAATCAGAAAAACAAGAACTTTTGTTTTGTCTAAAGTTTTCATTATCACTCCTGTTCACAGAATAGTAGCTCAGCTCTTTTAATTATCTCGACGCAAAATCAACATTTTGCGAAATTTATTCAAGATGAAAGAAAATTCGTATTGAAGATTTAGAAAACGTTTGTATCACCTTGAAACATCAATCTCTCTGGCAAAGTTCGAACAAGTTATTAGCAATTTGTAATTCTCTAGATCATTTCGACAGAAATGTTCTGCTTCGCAGTGCATTAAAAAAATGTTAATCAAAATTTGTCTTTTTGTTGTGTTAATAAAAGCGCTTTTTTTTTTTTACTTTTAAGTCTTCTTCTTTATCTAAATATTTGTGTTCATATTCATTTCGTTCGAATAATGTTTGATATCAAAATAGGTATTAATGGCTTTGGTCGTATTGGTCGACTTGTACTTCGATGTGCACTAGAAAAAGGTGTTAAAGTTATTGCTATTAATGGTAAGTAGCTTATATTTGTATATCATCATTATTTCAAAAACAAAAATATCCAATAAAAATTAAGATCCATTTATTCCTGTGGATTATATGGTCTATATGTTTAAATATGATTCTACACATGGACGTTTTAAAGGTGATTTATCATATAAAGATAATAAATTTATTATTGATGGCAAACCAATAACTGTTTATACGGAGTTAAATATTTATACTTTTTAGTTAGCGTAATTTTTGTTTTTTTATATTCATAGAAAAGAACCATCGAAAATTCCCTGGGGTCAATTAAGTGTTGATTATGTTGTTGAATCAACTGGTGTATTTACAACAATTGATAAATGTCAAGCACATATACAAGGTGGTGCAAAAAAAGTTATTATAACAGCACCATCAGCTGATGCACCAATGTATGTTATGGGCGTAAATGAAGATAAATATACAAGCAAAGATACAATTGTTTCAAATGCATCATGCACAACAAATTGTCTTGCACCATTAGCTAAAGTTATACATGAAAAATATGGAATTATTGAAGGACTTATGACAACTATACATTCATATACGGCAACACAAAAAACAGTTGATGGACCATCGAATAAAGTCAATTGATCGAGATTATTTTTTTTTTTAGGAAGAATGATGATAATTAATTGTTTTAGGATTGGCGAGGTGGTCGTGGAGCAGCACAAAATATTATTCCATCATCAACTGGTGCTGCTAAAGCAGTTTGTTGAATTTATTTTAAAATTTTCATTATATTACTTTCTTTTTTTGTTTTCAAAAGGTTGGAAAAGTTATTCCAGCACTTAATGGTAAATTAACTGGTATGTCATTTCGTGTACCAACACCAGATGTATCTGTTGTTGATTTAACTTGTCGTCTTGAAAAATCCGTATGAAAATCATTTTTTCAATTGAATATTTATTTAAATATTCTTATGTATATAGGCAAAATATGAAGATATTTGTAATACAATTAAAAATGCTTGTAATACAAATGAATTAAAAAATATTTTAAGTTATACAAATGATGAAGTTGTTTCATCGGATTTTCTTGGTAGTTCATATTCATCAATATTTGATGCTAAAGCGGGTATTTCTCTTAATGATAATTTTGTTAAACTTATATCATGGTATGATAATGAATATGGTTATAGTCATCGAGTTATTGATTTAATTAAACATATGGCTAAAATAGATAATAATGATGGAACTAAAAAAAATTCTCCATCAAATCAACAACGTCGTTCACGTCAATCATCACGAAGTCAATCAAAAAATAATTAATATTTAGAAAAGAAAATAATATCAAACAAAAACGTTTATTTATTAGCTGAAAAAATATCTTGAATCCAGTACACTTTCTAATTGAAATGTACCACGTTCAGGTACACGTTGAAGTGTGTCATTGAATAGTTTCATTGTTTGTTTTTGTTTATCATCAGCACGAGCATATTCACTAGAAAAAGAAAAAAAAAAGGAAAATAAATAGAATATAAAGAATCTTTTAATTGCTTGGTTTTTTCTTTGTGGAACTCATATTATGTTTTACGAAGAAAAATGTAGTGAGTGTTCGTTTTAAGACGAAAGCTTTATGACAAGAAGAGGACAACAGGCATTAGACACTGTTCCAAGAGTTCATTAGTACCAGCAAAAAGGAAATCTGATTTTCGGATTTCAACTTGAAATTTTGCGTAGAATTAGTTCTCAATGAGAATAATTTATCGTGAAAATACCAGGTCATTTGGTTTGTTACTATCTTGAGATAAGAACATCGAATCTGTGTGGGGGTATTGACATTTACCGTAGAAATGCAATATGTTCGCAGCAATAAGCTATGGGCTCAAACTTTTTTTGCAGTATTCATAACACATTAGGGTTCACATAATGCACTTACGAGGGAATACCCCTAGGTGAAGCGTCACTTTTGACGTGATATTTTGCCCATATATAGGTCTTAGTGAGACTAGAAAAATCCTAAAAGGGTTTGGATTTCTGGCGCTTCCTTCTTGAGCTATGACCGTTTTAGCAAAATTTTGGCTCTATGGTAAGTAGTTTCGAAAAATCTCATTTTGAGGATTTTGATCTGAAATGTTGTCGGTAGATAGCTCTTATAGATACTAGATTACCCGGAAAATTTCGACAAAAACAAATGTATCCTTCGCGAGATATTGAATTTACAGGAAACTCAATTATTGTATCTTTCGTATAACAAATGCCGATTTTTTTGCCAATTGAATATATCGAGAAGAATACATTCATTTTTGTCGAAACTTTCAGAATAATCTAGTATCTATAAGAGCTATCTGCCGGCAAAATTTCAGATCAAAATCCTCAAAATGAAATTTTTCGAAACTACCTACCATAGAGCCAAAATTTTGCTAAAACGGTCATAGCTCAAGAAGGAAGCGCCAGAAACCTAAACCCTTTTAGGATTTTTCTAGTCTCATTAAGGCCTATATATGGGCAAAATATCACGTCAAAAGCGGACCTTCACCTAAGGATGTTACCTCGTTAGCCACAATTTTACAGCGAATAAAACCTGGGGAGAATTCCCTTATTAGGCTGTTCTAGAATATTCCAATTTTTGCTCACGTAAAGACTAATATTCAAGATGTCAAAGATAATAGATAGTAATGCTTTGGTTTACCACTATCGCCATATGATCAAATTATTACGTTGAAGAATAATAAACTTATTTGCCAGTTAAATTAAGAAATTAGAATACGAAAATGAAATACATGGCAAACAAAAAATTCTATTCGATATGCAGAAATAAACAAGACGGATCATTTCGCTGATAATTAATTATCCTTGGAAAACAACTATAGTCTGCTGAAGATTTTTTACGTAACATATTTTATATAATAAAATAAGACTAAAAAAACACGTGTGAATTTCATATTTTAGAGTGTGTTGACGAGTTTTTTTTTTTAATGTTATTTATTCATACCTGGATTTAAATTCATATTTTGAAAGTAGATCTCGTGAAAGTATTTCAAGTAGTGGTTCTTTATGTAATGAAACAAATTGTTCTCGACAATATTGACTAAGTCGATCAACATCACATGCATGTGTCCAAAATGAATCATGAACTGATACGAATGTAATACCGTTACGTGCACATTGTAATGCTGTCATCATCATATGTGTTGAATCAAGTGAATGAACAAAATTCGGTGGAAATGCATTCTTTTGTTTGTTATTATTTGGACGACTAGAAAAAAAAATATAAGTTTTTACTCTGCTAGGAAAAAAACAAAAATTTTCTATGATAGACGGAGGCTAGTTATAAGGTTGTTTCTTCGAATTACTACTTGTTCGATACTTTATCATGTTTGAATTTTTGAAAGATCATTTTATTCTCGAAATTTGTATTTATACAAGTGATGCTTCTATTGTTATATAAGATATCTTACGAAACTCAGACGGCAATTCTATAAGGTTATTATAGTTTTAATTTGGCCCTAAAGTTATGTTAAAATGAGAAGAAAATTCGGTCTGAATCGAAATCTCCATCTCCCTTCTGGTACAGGTCCATATTCTAGTTGAATTTTGGGTTTCCGTTCTCCTTATTAGTATCTATTAAAAGCCATGTTTTCTATGGAAACTAATGAGCTAAACTAAGGCTCCAGCCTAAAATTCAAATCAAAAATTCTTTGTCTTATCCAATAGTCATTGATATCTAACATTCACAAGTTATGAATTAGAGTTTTATAACAAATATGATGATATTTTTCTACTTCTATTTATTAATATCTAATTATTTCATATTCGTAAATTAAATTTAATATTATTTTTATAATATAAATAAAACTTACGCGAAACTGCTAAAATTATCATAAATATCTTTGCCTTTATGCTAAATATAAAAAATCAAAAACAAAATTAATATGTCAAAAAGAAAAAAGAATAAAAATTTATTTAAACTAACTCGCATTCGAATTTCTCTATAATATGGTTGTACAACTGGTAAATTCAATGGTGTATTCCATTCTACAGCTGAATCACGTACACGTGAAATTAATCTTGCACAATCAGTAAACCAATCCTATTAAAACAAAAAATTTATACAAATAACTTGTATATATATAAAAAAAAAATTTAAATTACCTGAATTTTTCTTGTTTCTCGAAATAATTCTCGTAAACTAATAAATGTTTTTTGTGCTAAATAACTACTTGCTTCAGAAATATGTTCTCTTGGAAATTCATCAATATCACGTAATTGTCTACCTATTTGTTGTCTAGCACCAAATAATGTAACACCATAATTTGTTGTCATTATAGTTTGTTTAATAACTTTACGTTTAATAAAACCTTCAAGAATTTTCGCTATTGGTAAACCATTAGCAGCATCTTGTTTACGTTCTTGTTCAACTTGATCAACGACAACACTATAAACATCTTGTGGTAAATCACTAGGTTTAAGATTTACTGATGCTGCACCTATATCATCAAGACCCATAGCTGCATAATGTTGTAAAACATTACATGAACCATCCTAAAAAAACAAAGAAACAAAATTTTATGAACATATCAAATGTAGACATTAGTAGGATGAGTTATTTTAGATATCGAGTGCGTGCCAACGGAGCTGGGACTGTATTGCCCATATCTATTTAGAATATACGTATTATCCATTTCTGAAAATAAGTCGCTTGGGCAGAATTCGTATAACTTTTGAAGGAAAAGTCATAGAGAGCTGCGGTTTTCACCGTTGAATAGAGAACATCAGGGCACATAAGTCTATGTAAAAATCGATGGGTCAATCCATAAAAATACTCGTTATCTGCGTCATCAAATTTGGATGAAAATTACATAAAATATGCCTATTTTTGAGATTTAACCTCAGTATACAACTGATTCACACATCAGATATACAGTAGACAGTGCCTCTGCATCATTTGAACTCAATAAGATAAAATGTTAAAGTTGTCCTTTTTGAAAGAGAAGGATTTCCTGTGATAAAAAGGAAATTTCAGATTTCTAAATNGTACCATTCGATGCGGCTCGAAAAGGTCTACAATATGATATATTTGTTTCTTATTTCTGAACCGATGTACCCCATCCGACAAGGCCCTTTAAATGGCGGGACACGAACTTTTGGTATGCCCTAAGTATATGTATGAACTACAATCTAATAAAAAACGTTTCAATCAGATTGAACTATAGATCACATTTGGAATTGTAGAAGCAAGTTCACTACAAAACAATGTTCATGTAGAAAAATGAGCGGTTCCTTTTTGTTCGATAGAATGCCATTCAGAACATGACGATTGTACTACTATAGATAAAATAGAGTAGAATGTTTTGTCTTATAAATTGTTTAGTAATTCGAAAGAATCTTGTTTAATAAAATAGTTATTCTATCTAGATTTTATTCGTTCTGATTGGAGGTAATTACTCAAGTGTTTCTTGAGATATATAATCAATCATGGAAGCACCCTAAGATTCGGACTCGAGCGTTTTTGAACATTGTTACATCTTTTTGAGTATGCTTGCAGGTCTTCAGCTTTTTAATCATTTATTCCGCTAAGTGTAGATCTGTCATAACCAAGTCTAAAAGTCATTGTTTTGGCTTACTTCTGCTTCCTTGTAATAGTTAAGTGAAAATGACCGAATCTGAACGTTCAAGTTTGATACATGACTAAGTGTATGAATATATCTCTAGTCGAATCCTAATTTGATCTAAAATATTTTCTGAAGAATAAAAATCTTATGTAAACAAAGATTATCTTTCGTTTTATTGCTTAGATTTTTTTGTTGAAGTTTCAGAGAAAACATTTTGATTTTTATAATGAACAAAGATTTTCAACAGTATCATATATAAAGCTTTTGAACTCTTCGCTACTGTTTTCAGTGTTTGTTTTTCTCCAGGACTTTGTTCAATTTGTTATGAATTTTATTAATTTCATAAAGCAAAAAGTAATAGTATTGGATCAAGGTTCTCATATGAGCCAAACAAGAGGAAAAAACGCCGATAGACCATCTATATATATAATGTTCAGTATCTGTCTGTGTGTGTTTCTCTGTGCCGGGTTAAAGGTCAAATAAGGCTATAAGGAGAAGGTCCTCAAGGTCTTTTATATGGGACTACCTACAGATCCTCAACAGCTATTATATGGGGGTATCCATAGGTACTTAAAAGCTGTTATACGGAGTGCCAAAAAGTCCTCAAGGGCTATTGTATGGTATATCTATGGGACATGAAGAGCTATAATATGGGGTAGCCATAGGTTCTCAAAGGACTGAGGCAATAAGTTGTAAGGCAGTAAGGAGATAAGGCTACAATTGGTACATGGCTATAAGACCGAAGGCTACATGGGCTAAAAAAATATGTGTGATATAAGAGTATCGGGCCGTAGGGCTATCTATCTATATACATAATATTGAGTGTCTGTATGCCTGTTCCTGAATGAAAAGTTAAACGTCTTCGATCATACGTTAAAGAAGAAAAACAGCCGTGCAGTATGCACGGACTCTCGCTACTTTAGTATAATGTTCGCTACACCGGCAATGACAAAAACTGTTAATATACTAACAATCAGCCGGCTGTTCTTTGACTCTTCATTATATAGGCAGCAATTAGAACCGTTCGAGTTGTTTCCGGACGGGCCTGAAAATTTTGAATTCAACGGGCTCTAGTGACAGTATGAAGTAGCTTGTATATTTTCAAGACATTTCAATAAAAATTATGAAACTTTATTATTGATATATGATAATTCAGAGCAAAATAAAGTTAAAGTCTTTTTGACTCGCTGATATCATCCGAAACTGGATGATTAATTCAACTGTCGTGCATTTTATTAAAAGTGATAGATACAGAATTAAAGTCCCAATGTTAAAAAATTCAACTCCGACAGGAGTAACTTTGAATAATTTTTCTATATTACAAAAGAAAAAGAAAAACTTATCAAGAATTGACAGAATTTCTACGCATAAATGGCATTCCTGTTTCTTTTTCTATTCGTCGTGATTGTTTGCTTGAAGCTGATGATGGTTTTTTATGTTTATGTTGACGATTATCACTTGATGGTGGTCGATGCTAAAATAATCAAATAAAACTATATTTTTCTTTAGTTTTAAAATCTTACACGTGTATGTAATCGTTTCTCTTCAAATGATCGTAATGTATTAATTAAACGAGCAATTTCATGTCGACATTCATCTAATTCTGATTCAAGTTTTTCTCGTTTTATTCTTTCAAATTCTATTTGAGCTTCAAATTCATCAATTTTTCTGAAAAAAAAGAAATTATAAATATTTTCTTTGAAAAAATATAATTATTTTTTTTTTTAGAAAATAATACTTTTGTGATTCATGTTCAACTATATCTCGTTTATGATCTTCTTCAAATTGTCCACCTAATTGACGAAAATTTTTTTTTGCTATTTCAAATTGTTTTTGTAATTCATCATATTTTTGTTTTGCACGTCCAAGTTCTTCTTCTTTTGGTGTTAATTTTCGTCGATTAGATTCATTTTGATGATGATGATGAGGAGGAGGATATTGATTTGTATTTGTTTCAATTTTATCAACTTCTCCACCAATTAATTTCAAACAACCTAATTGACCAAAACGTCTTGCTACATCTTTTGGTGTTTCACCACTTTGTGTTGTTAAATCCATTGATGCACCCATTTCAATTAACCATCGTAATATATCAATATGTCCTTGACCAGCTGCTTTATGTGCTAATGTTGCACCACGTTCATCACGTTCGTTTATATTAACAACACCTTGTTCAACTAATAATTTAACATGTTCAAAATCTCCATTATATGCAGCAACATGTGCTGGAAAAGCAAGATCTTAAAAACAAAACGATATGATTATAGGTTTTTTTTTCTAATTGAACTAATTGATTTATTTATTACTTTCGGCTTGTTCAGGATGATCTTTTTCCCATTCAAGTGCATCAAGATATGTACAACAATTTTCTTTATAAAATTGTTCAGCTAAAGATTTTGGTGTATCACCTTGATCATTACGAGCTCCTAATATTGCTGCTGTATCTCGACTAACTGATACAATAAATTTTAAACATGGTAAATGACCTTCCATGGCAGCAAGATGAGCTAAAATATATTTTAATATTTTCTAAAAATTCTATTATCAATATATTTATGAAATTTTGAGACAATTCTCGAAGACAAATATAAAAGAACCTTGTCGAATAAGATAATCATCCTTCATTTGAAAAGTTATCTATATTATTACAAGAAGCAACTCATGGTAAATCGAATTCTAAATAGAAAATTAGTTTTTCATCAAGCTTTTATGTTTTAAAAAAACTATATAACAGTTAAACAGTACTATAGAAATGGTAGCTGATATGACTAAATATGTCTCGAAACCAACTAATATCAAATTTTGTTTAAAATTACTTCAATAGAGTTTTGTCTGATCTTCAATCGTATATGTCTAATAATACTCACAATAACTTTCTTTGTATTCAAAATTTTAACATTTTTAGAATTGTGTGTCATGATTAATCAATGTCCAATTATTCAAGATCTAAGCACAGAAAAGCATATGAATTTTGCGATAAATACTTTTTGACTGAAGATGTTTCTATTCATTGTTAGTAAGTTCATCATGCTATATCATTTTAGATATATATCTATCTTTCAAACATGACAAAATATAGATTTTTCTTTTAGACCTCTGAAGGAACGCACGGGAATGGACTATTACAACAACTATAGTAGTTTTTAATTTATTTTGTTCTTTATGAATGTAGACTCTGAGTACTACAGTATTTAACTATTAAAAAGTTGGCGTATTCTTGTAGCTTCGTTCAAGAACCTGAAAGCGAAAAATTGTTTACTCTTTTTTGAAAGATTCATATATATGAAATAATAGGGCATGATGAACTTATTATTAATACATAGGAACTTTTTTCACTTAAAAAGTATTTATCGTAAAACTCATATACTTTTCTTTTCTTAGGAATTACAAAATTGAGTATTGATTAACCGATTTAACCCGGGACATGCAATTGTCGAGAATATTGCAACGTTGATCGCCTTTGTTCTCAGAAACAACAGTATCGAAGAATTTAAAATATTATTAAAATCAAAAATTATAGAAACTAGTAAAGATTGGCTATCTTATTCGACAAGGTTATTTTCTATATTTACAGAATTCAAAATTCTTACCTGCTGTGTTGCCTTCATTATCAACATCATCTAATTTTCCACCCCATTTAACTAACATTTGTAAACATCCAAGTCTTCCATGATAAGCTGCAGTATAAACTGGTGTCCATCCATTAACATCTTGATGACTGATGTCCTTTTTTAAATATGTGTGATAAATGATTACTATCAAAGAGTTATCTAACAGAAAAAAAACTTACAGCTCCTCCACGTAAAAGAGTATGTACAACAAAGGAATTTCCATGTGCACAAGCCATATGAAGACATGTTTGATTTCGACGATCACGTGCATTTACATTAACATTATTATTAATCAGAGCCTAAGAAAAATACATAAGAATAGAATTATTGAATAAAAGATATGAACATCTTCGATTCTTTATAAGAGCTGTGTTTTTTTTAAAGATGTTCTTTTCTTATGAATTAATGTTAAAATATTGTCTCTTTCAGTTAGGATTGCTAGATTGAAATATCATAAAACGAAGTTTTAGCAATGAAAATTCGGAAATCAATTGATTTTACCTTTAAATATATTTATAGTATCTCTTTTTATTTGGAATATGGTTTGCTCTATTAGTATTTGATATGAAAATTGTTAGGGACATAGGTGTTTTTGTGTACTTAAAAAGTGAGTACACTCTAGAATCGGTCAGTATGTCCGTCCGTCCGTATACACGATAACTTTCGAAAGGAGAGTCAGATCATGATGAAATTTTCTACATAGTTTAGTCTCATCAATGTCTCGGTCGAGTTCGAAGATGAGAAGGATCCGTCAAGAAATGGCTGAGTTATCGGAAAAATTGTCATTATTGACCAGACAATCACAGANAATCGGTCAGTATGTCCGTCCGTCCGTATACACGATAACTTTCGAAAGGAGAGTCAGATCATGATGAAATTTTGTGCACAGAATTGTCTCATCAATGTCTCGGTCGAGTTCGAAGATGAGAAGGATCCGTCAAGAAATGGCTGAATTATCGGAAAAATTGTCATTATTGACCAGACCATCCCTGAGGGGGGAGGGGGGGGTACAGGGATTTTTAAAAAAAAAATTTTTTTTCTCAGAATTATTCATAACATATATAAATCAACTCAGTTTTTAATGCTGATTCCGAATCTGATATTAGTTTTGAACCAAATCGTAGCTTTCTCACAAAACATTGGCTGAAAAAGGTCTAAAAATGCACAAAAACTGCATCCAGAAAGCAAATAGCCTAGATATGTCTCAGATCATAAGAAACAAAATGAATATACCTGTTCACTTTTTCAAGTACACATAACACGCGAATTTAAATCCGAGGTTTTCGCATTTATTTTTCTTCTCCAATCTCACTTATACTCGTATTTGAATCCTCAAAACTCACCATTCGTGACTGCATCTAAATCAATTTCTATTGGTGAAATTGTTTATTCAAATGATCTTCTTTAATAATACAGTCTATTCAGTTTAGTTCAGAAAGACTTTAGATTCAAGAGAGTGTATACTTTTAGTCTCAAAGCTTTGCACTATATGAAAAGTACAATAACATGAGTCAAAGTTAAACTCTAACTCATAAAAAATTGAATTTAGCAACGATTCGGAATTTTTCCCTGCCATTTCTAAAGACCTGGCAATCATGCTTTTAACTCGACTCTAATTTAATTAAAACTTAATTAATTAACAAATAACACTTTAGTCTTATTATGGAAAACTCCACGAATTTTTAGAGAAGGCTTCAAAACCGATTTTCTAGATGTCTGCTCTGATTCTCGGCTTTTTTGCTATGATTTTGAGATCTCGAATAAGAATTTCAATGTTCGTTCTCATTCACGTCAGTAACAACAAATAGACTTTCTCTTTTTTTTTTTTAAACTTAAGTATGTTCAGGAAAAATCTAAACAATCCTCTACAAAACGCACTATTTACTTTTCAAATATACTTGTTGAACTTACAGGATTTGTAAATGAAAATGTAAACCATGAAAACCTTCGTTCTCTTTTGTGTCACAAGGCTAATGATAATTTTCGGATAATTATTCGTCTGTAGAACTAAGTTTTTCAATTTATCTATAGTAACTCAACATACATCTATTAGATAAAATTTAGCTAAAAGAAACATTAGAGTTCGGAGATATACAGTAGTCGCAACAAGTCTTGCTATTCGGTAAACAGTACATAAACTTCAATCTTTTTGTCTGATATTTTGACTACGAATAGAGCTCAGTAAGCTCTGATCGCATGAAGCAATTCGAAATCAATCGATCTCAATACAAAGGATTTAGAATTAAAACATTGATTTTTTTTCTCTAGGGCCCAAAAAAGGCTTTTTTTTAATTTTCTCCTATTTAAATACGTTAATCTCCATCTTCCTATTGACAAATAAAGATTCGTATATCTCTATTATATCGCAGATAGAATACTTCAATGAGCTGTAATCTTGCGACGCACAGAAGTTTTCATTGTCTGGAATGATCTCAAGATGAATCTCTTCTTCATCGACGATTGCGATCATGAAACTTTGCGTGAAAACTTGATTAGAACAAGGGACTCACTAGAGAAAATTTCAAAATTAATACTTAAAAATTAGCAGAAGATATCAATCACTTTTCGCCGATCTTCATAAACTTTCATGCGAAGATTCTTCAAAGATTACTTCACAAATCAAGCAAATTACAGGCGTTTGACATTGAACTTTTATTAGTGATAGAGGCAATGATGAGATATCCTCACCTGAAGAAACAATCTATATTGATCTTCTAGCTCCTTCACATGAAGGTTGATCAACTTCTTGCTAACAAGACTTCTTGTAACTACTATAAGCATTGTTATTTATGTGAAATCACATAGCTAATGAATGAAACTACTCATATATTTAGTAGATAAAAAAATTCGATAAGGATTTTCTTACTTGCACACATGCATCATGTCCTCGAATTGAAGCAATATGAGCTGGTGTCCATCCTTTTGGTGTTTGTGCATCCATATCAGCTGATTGCCATAAAAGCCAATGCATACACTTTCAATAATAAAAGAAAAGGACATAATGATAACTATGAACATATAATTTTTTCGAATACCTCAAGACTTCCTGAATGAGCTGCCCAATGTAATGGTGTAAATCTATCATCACAATGTGCATCAATGTCATTAACACTTGCGCCATGTCCAACGGCTAATTCAAGTTCTTTAACATTATTTGCACGAATAGCATCATGAATCGTTTTTGTTGCTTAATATGAACGAAGCAAAAAAAAAAAAAAGGAGGTTTGTTACATTTATAACATTCGCATTGTCAAACAAATCTTTACTAGGTAATTTGTATAGAAAAAATTGAACCTGTTAAGTTCATATGTTGGGCTTAGTTACACATGAAAAAACTCAATTGTATTTGAGAAGAAAAAAGAAAAGATTAAGAGATAAATGCATTACCTTGTTGCTCTTTGCTTTGAGTCATTTTTAAACTAAAAAATAATACTTATGTTTAACAATCCGATTTTTTTGAATGTCTTTTTTCGTTGCTTAGTTGTAACCTTTACTCAGATGATGAAGTTTATTTTGATTGGATAATAAATAATCAAATGAAAAATAGGTCTTCTATTTAATTTCATACAATTTAAATAAACAATTTACACTCAATCATAATATTCTATTGATCTTTGTTGCTAAAAATAACTATATTCTAGCAAATGTTATGCGTTCATGCGTATACAAAGTGTGATTTTTCGCTATTGGTTGAATGAATCACAGGACTCCTATGGTGCTTCTAAGATGAAAAAAAAAAACAAAAAACGCTTCTATATTTTATCTAGTTTCATCGCTATGCACGTTATTTTCTTTTTCATTTTTCTACAGATTTAATATCTATTATTTACTCATGGAGCAATCCGCATCAGCTGGTCCCGTACAAATAGTTAGTATAACAGAAGATCATAAATTTGAACTTGATGAAAAGAAATTAAAACAAATATTATATCATAGACGTGCAATTGGAAAAAAAGTAAAAGAAAAATGAAATAAATATTATTTTAATTAATAATAATTATACTTTGTTATCTTCGGTAGATCTCACTTGTCTCAATTGCAGGAGATTTTCGTAAAGGAAAATCGTTTCTACTTGATTTTTTTCTTCGTTATTTACGAGCACAGGTTAAATATAAAAATTCAATTTTGTGAAAACGAACATCTGCTTCTTTTTCCTTGTTTTTTTCTTATAAATTTAGCACAATACAGAGTGGATTGGAAGAGAAAATGAACCTTTAAAAGGTTTTGATTGGCGTGGTGGTGCCACTCGACATACAACAGGAATGATTATGTGGAGTGAACCATTTCTTTTATCATTACCAGATGGAGAAGAAGTATAATATATATGAAATATTTTCTTAAATCAAAGAAAACAAAAAAGAAGCTATTTGTTAAATTTAGATTGCTGTCTTTCTTATGGATACTCAAGGAACATTTGATTCAAATTCAACTGTATTTGAAAATGCATTTATATTTGCTTTAACATTACTTGTTAGTAGTGTAACTGTTTATAATATTATGCATAATTTACAAGAAGATAATTTACAACATTTATCATTTTTTGCTGAATATGGTGTTTTAGCAATTGATGCTTATCATACATCACCTTTTCAAGTTTGTTTGTTTTGTTTTAAATAGAAAGAAAAAGAAGACATTGAAGTTTCTTTTTTTTTTTGTTATTGTATAGCAATTAACATTTCTTGTACGTGATTGGCAATTTGAATATGAAACAGCATATGGTTTCGATGGTGGAGAAGATATTTTATCAGACCGTTTAAGAGTAAAAAGACAAAAAATTTTACTTTTTTTTTTTTTTTTGAGTTCAATTAAATTAGATACGGGAAAATCAACATCGTGATCTTGAATTAGTTCGTTCACGACTACGTCAATGTTTTCGTAAAGTTAATTGTTTTCTTATGCCACATCCTGGTCTTAAAGTAACAAATCGAAAAGATTTTGATGGACGATTAGTAGGTGAGAAAAACAAAACAAAAAAAGAATTTTATTATTTTTATGAATTATTTAATATCTTTATTGTTATTTAGATATTGAAGAAGATTTTAAAAAACAATTATTAACACTTGTACCAGAAGTTTTTCGTTTGGATAATCCAAATTTTATTAAAGAAATTAATGGAGAACAAATTACATCAACAGATTTATTTGAATATTTTCGAGTAGGTAAAATATATTATTTGATAAATAAAAGATATAAACATTGTAAATGCTCAGAACAATGATAGAAACTTAGAAGTGGGGATGCAATGATCGAGTTTTTTGTAGTTCTAGACTTAAAGCTTCCGATTAAGGCCCCTCCCCCCTCAAAAATCGATCTCAGGTCAGGAACATCCAAATTCCATGAAACTTTCAGAATATGTTGGGGCTGGTGAGCCATGACTACGGTAAAATTTTCAGCCCTATAGCACGATGTTTAACAGAAATATTCACCAAACAAGGGTCCAAAATAGCCCAATAGTATCTCCAAGTTTTCTCTGTGGGCCTTCATTCTAGTTATTTAATTCTTTTTTTGTTTGAAAGAGCATGTCAGAATGCAGCGCCTCTCGTGGCCCTTTTTTTAAAATTCTTACTTTTTAAGCGGAGAAAAGGAATGACAAGTGCAATGACTAAAAAAATCCCTAAAAAAATGGCGCTTTTTCTATAGAGATGTTCTCTTATATGATACTAAAAGGGCTTATTTTAAAAAAAGGGCCACGAGGGGCGTTAGCCCTAGACATAAGCTTTCAAACAAAAAAAAGTATTTGACTTTACCTCTTACTGTGATAGAGTTCTGCTGGAGATGCATCGTTGAACCCACGTTCTGAGAAAAACAAAAAATGATTTTCGGTTTTTTGTAAAAACGGCTTGTTTTTCGAATAGGGGGTGACGAAATTCTTCCAAATTTTTTGGAAAAAAAGAGATGCCGAATAAAAATTTTTGTCGTTTATGAAAGAGCAGATGACGGGCTATTTTTCTATGGATTTATCTCAATTTCGATGATTCTGACGAAAAGTGACTTTTTTGAAGGGGGGGGGGGGCTTAATGTTGCATTCGGACTCTAATTAATGACTTTATCAGTGAAATATCATTGTTTTGTCTAATTTCATCAATAAGAATCCGAATCTAACATCGATCTATAGATTAATTCTTAGTCCGATAAATTTTGGAAAATATTTTAAGATAAAACACTCTAACACTAACGAAGAAGATTTGTATGTGCCTAATTTTTTTTTGAATGTTGAAAAGAAAAACATAGGTGTAGATCCATTTACACTTATCTTCATTTTTCTAGTAATTTTTGAAAAAAAATAGGATATGTTCGAAAGCTACAACCTTTATAATAATGTTTTGATGGAGAAGTAACTATCCAGAATATCATCCATGTTTGTTGATATAAAACAGTTCCTAATGATTTCTCTAGATGCTTTTCAAACCCTATCCAGCAATTATAAATCTAGTTTCTTAATGAAAATTCCTGAGATACGACTAAGGTGATTATGATCGTCCTAATTCGAAATATTGTAAACAACTCTCAACTTTGTTTCATCTCTATCCTCAGCAGTTGCTTGTTGTGTTGCAAACGTCTAGATAAAATGAAGTAGGACACCAGTATAAAACAAGTTTTTTTTTTACATATTTTTATTTTATCTTTTGAATTTGTGTTAAAGGTTGTCTTCAGAGATAGAGTAGAGTTATCTGAAAATTTTTTCAATCGAAAAAAATCTTCATTATTCGTATGTGTTTTCATGAGATGGATCAGTTCTTGAATTCATATTTAACATAAAAATTCATTTTATAATACTTTTGAAGACAAGATCAATTGTTTAAAGTATTTCAGCCAAGAAAGATTTCATGACATTTTTGTTAATCTGATATATGAGAAAATTTTCTCGAAAATATGAAGAGTTTAATCATATTATTTACATCAGTAGCTGTTCGAACTATCTTTCGAGAATGTTTCACAGTAATGGAATGAGTCATTCAAATGAAGAAGATACAGATATGAAGATAAAATAATTCTAATCATACTTTTCTCGAAATTGTTGAATCTTAACATTACGAATCAATGTGCTCGTCTTCTGAAGCTTTCTTCGCTAAGATTTTCTAATTTCAATATACAGGGCGATGTAATATGAATAGAATGAGAGTGTGAATAAGAACAGATATTGAGATCGTGATCTTCTTGCAATACAAGAAAATATATTATATGCTATCATGATAGAAATTATTATAATTAATAATGAGATTTATATCTGTTTGGTATAGTTTTTGTACCATTTTATCATCAAATGAAGGGACCATACACAACGAACTTTCAGCATAAATCGAACGTTGCTAGAGAAGGGAGAGAAAAGGAGTTGGACGTCACATTATTATATTGTTGGGAAGATATCAGGCTACTGAATCTGCTAGTAGACAGCACACGATGCTGCAAGGAAGTTGGAAGACAAGAGCATCCTTCCTTCTTCTTTTTCATATTTTAGCAAATAAACTTTTTCTACAAAAATTTTTAGAAACTAGACCTCTAAGTAGAGGCGATCATAGAATGCGGTTTCTTTCCAGACGCTATATATGGATGGTTTCTAATTTTTCTTTTTGCAAAGAAATATTCATTTAAATCAACTTTTCATTAAAACGAAATGAATGTGAGAACAATTGAAACGAAACAGAATTTATAAGTATATACACATGTACCTTTTTGATTAAAAACCAATATTGTGATTGATTGTTGATCTTTCTTTTAGTTTTTTTCTTCTGTTTTGATGGAACAAACATTTAAGATGCTAATCGGAAATCATATAATCAGAATCGGCTTCACTTTAACCTATGATCAATGTTTACTCCATGATCGTGAGTATTGATATCATATTGAAAATATTGCAAGAGACTTACTAAATCATTGCATGATCAAGTATGGTTCGAAAAGTTCTACTTGATCAAGAATCAATTCAAGTAAAAAAGAAAGAACCATTAGAAGTGTATGTCAATGTATTGATCGATAGCATCAGTGGTTGAAAGGATTCGATATTTAAAATTTGTTTTTTTCTTATTTCTATGAAAAGGAAGAAAATGATGTCATAGAATGTAGTGATAAGAAATCAGGCAGGAACATTTCTGAAAACTGTTTCTGAATATTGAAAATTTTATCGTATCTAATATCTATTTCTATGTCCCAATAATGATGGCGGAGCTAGAAATTTTTTTTCAAAAAGTTAACTGTGGCAGCAATTCAGCTAATCAGGTTACACTTCTAGCAAAAAAGAATCCATATATCATATGAAGGTATTTACTGTGACTTAAGCGAAATGATGCAGCATGATTTAAATACTTTTTCTAGATTATCAAAACATTGTTTTACTTTCTGCTGGGAAACATATAGGTGGTAATGGATTACATAGTGTGATTCTTGAGGTAGTTACGAAAATCTTCGTGATTTTTGATTAATTTCGTTAACCGTTTGATTTTCGTTGATACTCTGAGTGATGCATCTTTGGCGGTCAACACTGTAGACTCAGTTCTGTACTCTCACAACATGAATTACCACCAATATTTACACTACATGGTGGATCTTCATCAGTAGAAAAGTTAAACATAGTTTTGGAAGTTCATCAAAGACATCATAATGAACCATGAAGTGAAAGACACTACGGTAATGTTTCATAAAAAAAAAACATTCTAGCATTTAATCGTTATTTGTAGTTGCCTTTCATTTAACTTGCTTCTCCTGTCATTACTTCATTGGATCGACTAGTTAATATTCATGTGCTTAGGAAGTCGTTTTTCAAGTTTCAGCTCAGTTCAAAACTTTGGTTTATTCACATAACGAAATGATCTATTCGGAAAATATCATTGTTTAATATGATATATCAAATCCTCAAGAAAACAACGATAACCATTAATAATATAAAAAGAGTTTGAAAAGGAGTAAAAAAGTAAACACTTAATTTTCGACTATCGGCAAATTAATAAATGAAGAAAACTAATCTTTGAACTATTCGATAACAAAATTGTCGAAACATTTCTTTGTCTATTGATAAAATTGATGTGCACTTATCTCAAGACACTTCCGTGCTCAAAAATTTCGTCTTACCACTCAGACTAAAATCTATTCTATTTTCTCTATTCTCGAATGTTTTGTTGGCTTTTTCCATAATGTACTCAGTTGATTGAGTCATGCACATGATTGAAGAACGTAACACTTCAGGTGAAAAATTTCAGACAAGCATACTTTAATGTCTTTTTTCTCTAATCATTTCGTAGTAAAAATCTAAATTTTCCGAGAGTATATAAGAACATTAAAAAATAACTCATAAAGAGAATTATTTATTTTTTATTTTTATAATTATAAAACAGAATAGCCGGTCTGACAACCAACATGTTGTATTGGTAGAAAACCCTTTTGGTGCTTACTAATATCTTTCTCTTTCTTCCTTTATGTAACATGTGCTCTTATAAGGACATAAGTGACTGAAAGAAAAAGAAAAAAAGAAAAGCAAACGGCATACTACATCAAATCTTCTTTTTCATCTGTCGTATTTCAAAACTTGCATAGAAAAGTCATGTGCGTTTGTCACAAAATCGATACAATACAATTTTTTTCTTCCGAATTTCTACCAACTAAATAATAACATTCATATTATAACTTTATTTTTCTCCTTTAGAAAAACGGAAGCTTCATTAATGTCTGTACTACCTCCAACTTTAAAGACTGATCAAAATCAAATAAGCAGTAGTGAAAATGGTAAAACTAGAAAAGTAGCCATACCAGCGACATCATCATCATCCTCATTGGTACAATCATCTTCTTCTGAAACCTTGAATTCTGATGCTGNTGGACAGAAGACCTAACAGCCTTTATCCTTTTAGGGTTTTTCATAGCTCACTGGGGTCTACCTTATGCACAGAGTCCGAACTCAAAAGATTTTTTACACTTGCATATGTTCCCTCGTTAGAATAGGAACAATAATAAAATCTGAAACTGTGTGTTCCTAAAGAGACTACAGCATTCCGCGAAAAAGTATCCTAAAAATGCAGTATCATTGCAATCATCAGTTATGAGTCGGAGGAATAATATGTCAATTTAGACAATTTTCTTAATTCCTATGAAAAACATATTTGCAATGTTAGCTTTGCCACTTCTTGTAGAGAACAATCTCGTTTTAATTCTATGTAAAAAAAAAAAAGAACATCGATGATATAAAATATATTTCGCCTGTTCCTTGAAGACGCTGGAAAATGAATGAACATTTCGTCAAATTACATTTCAATTACTCGTTAATGTCAATAGTTTGAAGATCAGAAGTCAATTAAAATGCATACTTAATCGAATATATGACTCTTTCATGTTTATGGGTTTCACGTTTACTATTGTGATCTTTCACTTGTTCGCTTGACTCGTTATTTCGATCGAATACAACCTTTAAAGGAGGATTTTTTGTTGATTCATATGATATTTATCAGTGATTGATTCATCAATACATAGTAATATAACAGTTGGCTTATTAATAAAAATAAATTTATTATAAATTTGGTTACAAATTTTTTTTTTCACAAACATAAAATTTATCAATTGGTGCTTCATAAATCTTCACATTCTAGGCATATAAAATTTCTAGAGTATATGTGAAGCCCTTTGTTTTTAAATTCTTTTTTATTAAGCCAATTAAAACAAAGAATGACAAGTTCAGCATCTCAAAAATGCTCTAAAAATTGGATTTTTTCCTCCATTTGTCGAGTTTTTTTGTAATACTGAACTTGTCATTCTTTTTTTTTCGACTTAAAAATAAAGAATTTAAGAAAAAAAAAAAAGGTTTGACATGTCCTACAGCTTGACATAAAAAAAGAAAATTAATATATACAATGCAAGTCTACAGAAAATTTCGGCTAACTAAATAAGCTTTTTTTTAATCTCTGTTTTATCGATATTTTCAGAAAATGTTATGATAACTGGAAAAAAAAATTGACTATAGCCTTTACACTATAACTCCAGCATATCCTGTAAGTCTTATACGATTGGAATGTTCCTGATGTAATATCGATTATGACTCAGAAGATTTGGATGACCATGAAAAAAGCATAATGACTTCGTCCAATAATTCAGGCTTTCTACATAATAGCATTCAACTTTATTGATAACATACAAGCATAATATACAAATCGATACCATAATTGTTGATTAGATTATAATGATTCTCATAGTATAGCCTTCAATTCAAGGTAGTCTATATCTCTATTTAATGATTATAAATATTATCGAATAACAAATCATTGATTATTCATACCAGAAATATTCTACGTTAAAATCTTTCTATTGTAAATATTATTTGAATTATTTAAAACTGTTTACTATAAGACAATGTTCATTTATGTATGTTTGTCTTGTTCTGAAAATTTTCCTAATGTCATTTGTGAATTAATATTATTATGAATACATTTTTATTCTAATTTATTAATAAATACAAGTTCTTTTTTTTCTTCACAAATTAAGTTCTTATCACAATATCATTCGTTTCTTTATATATGAAGTAGTGGATTTTTGCATAAAGTATATTTACTCGTAGTACGTATGAGATGAGTAATCGACAATAAAGAGATAGAGAGAGAAACAACATGTGCACACATTAGAGAGGCTGTAATAATAAAATGGATTGTAGAAAAAAAAAGTTGTGTTCAGAATACAAAAGAGCATTCCGTCGGATTTGAAAGTAATCATGAAGACAAAAAAATTTTCGCTAGAGTAGAGATTTAACTATTTTATTCATCTGATTAATAATGAAAGATTATTTTAAATACATAAACTATATGAAAAGTTTAACTCAATGACATGATTGATTGTCAGTTGTTTTTTTTCTACATGTAGGTCATAATTTATAGATTACATAAATGTTTGAAAATGAATTTACTAGATTTTTATTATGTTTTTTTTTTTTCATCAACATGATCTGCTAGAAATGTTATTAGCATTATGGTATTTTGCTTTGTCATATTTTTAAATAACATATTATTTTAATAAACTTACAAGTCATGTTATATCTATCTATCGAAGAAAATTTTGTCCTTATTGACATTTTTGCGGAAGATGATTGAAAACATACAACAATTTAGTATAAATAATGGAGCGATTAGTTTGCAATACTATAGAAGAAAATAATAATATTTATTGAAAAATGGCACCATATTTATTCGAAAAGGATGTTTTTTTTGAATGATTCATCTAAATAATACCAAACAAAAAATAAAAGTCAATGGACGTCTTATATATTGAATAAATTTCAAGAATATTATTGGTCAATATTAATAAATATTTTGATAAAAATAAGTAGTTTTTTATTTTTAATTCATGAGAATATATCTGTTTTTCTTTTGATTATATGGAAAGCATAAGAAACTTAACGCATACTATTTGACAAAAGACAATGAAAATATGACATCTGCTTATTATCATATTCAGACAAAATCTATAAATAATTTATTTTTATTTTTATAAAATAATGAATCAAATATTGAGTACATGCTGGAAAAAGTTTATTATTAATCGTTTAAGACCTAGATTTATCTTTAATAAATTAATATATCCTCTCGCTCTCTCTCTCTATATATATAGATACACTTGTTATTCAAAAAATTATAATTATTTATTCCATATATAGATTTGACGAAGGCAACAAATTACATTTTAAAATCTTTTGTTTTCCTAACCGAACAAGATAATTATAATTATTCTATAGTAAATTTAATCCTTTTTCAGGAACAAAATGAAATCAGAGATCTATATTAATATTAATTATAATGTTATATGAATATACTAGGTTTTATAATGGAATATATAAAATCATTTATATCATTATCAATATCGTAAAAATTATAATTACTCTTCAATGAATTTGAATAGAATATAAATCAATATATATTTAAAACAAAAATAAGTAAAACAGTCCGAGAATATGGTTTGACTAAAACAGAAAAAACCATGATAAAACGATAGTATAAAAAGACCCGTTCGTAATGTTTCATGAGTCATTATTTACTTTGTTTATCATTAATTTTCATGACTATCTTTTTTACCTTTGTTATAAGTACTTTGTTAATATATCATTTTTTTTCTCTCTCTCTCTCTCACGTATAAGGGAGTAACGATTTTCATTTGTTGTTAATTGCAAAAAGAAAACATGTTCCCTATCATTTACTCATCTAAATAAACATATTATACGCAAGTAAAGAACCCACGTGGAAACATTTAGAGTCATTATTTTAGAAATTAACATCATCTTGCTTGTCTGTTCCTTTTCTTATTTTTACGAGACTTAAGAATTTTGTTTGCTATTTTTCTTGTCATTCCTTCCTGAGTGTTTAGCGTTGAGTTAAGAGTAGAACGAAGAAAAAAAAACATCCAGAGTATGAGTCGACCAGGCAATGATGAGACGAACGTCACACATAACAAAAGTGCTGGAATAATGGTAGCTAAGAGTAAGCTTTTATTTTTCTTGTAGTCACTTTTTTTTAAAAATATGTTTATTCGACGAATGAAGTTTCGATAGAAAAGAAAAGAATTCCTGTATGTTACTTTTGTATATTTTATCTATTCATAAAGCAAAAAAAAAAAGAAGTCCGATACGACATGACAAAAGAAGAAGAAAGGTTTCGCATCTTCCGATACAACTTATAAAAAAAATTATTCTCTTACTGTTTTTGAGAAGCAAATGAACCTCGATCTTATATCTTGATTAGAGACTATATTCAATGTTTTTTTTTCTTCATAATAAATACCTATTTATTTATACAGAGTGTTTTAACCTTAGGTACATATATATAGCAATCATACAAAAGAATTTCATTGTATAGAAACATATGTTCGAATAGGAAATCAAAATTAACTTTTGCACCAGATGATTGAATGCTTTGTTTTTTGTCATTAATCGAGGTCAGAGGACAACGTTCTTTTTTTTTTGTCTTAGTCATCATTTAACGCCATCTAGAATTTCCTGTTTTTTTTTTTGTTTGAACATTTTTGATTATTAAAATATTGACTTCTTTTATGTTAAATGAATTTTTTCCAGGGTCTAGCTTAAAAGAATAAATTTTAAATCAGGCGACACCTATGAATGTACAGTTAAATGTAATAGTTTAATGTTGAAAACTAACAGAAATCTGGTGATTTTATTTGAAATTTCATAAGTAAATTGTAACAAAAACATTGTTTAGTTGATAAGAGAAATAATTTCAGTTTTCGTTTTAAATATATGTTTTTAATACGAATACTTAAGGAAAATTTTTAATAGATATTTATAGAAATTTATCTATTTGCTATGAATTAATTAATTTGTTTTGTACAAGTGCAATGAATATGTACATATGCGTTCTTTCTTGAATAGTATTTTTTCCTTATTTTATTTCTATTACAAATTCTTAGATTATCATTTTTGCTCAAAGGATAATCCATAACATATGTTAAGTTAACATAACAATAAATTTTGATCTTTTTTCTCTATTCTACACCTATAGTGGTGCCATTCTTCTTTTTTTTTCTTGTTATATTTTATGTCGTCTCTATATACATTGGTTATTTTTTTTTTCGCCCTAACATTCAGGTATTACTCGTTTCTTCTTCTTTTTTTTTCATTTTTCATTCCTCTGTCAGGTACAAAACGTCATTTGAAAGAGAAAAGGAAATAAATAAATAACTAAATAAAAAAAAAAATCAAATTTTTTTTTTACTTTAGATTGCGTGTTTATTTTTTTATTTTTATTTTTTGTTGTATTGTCATATCTTGTATTCTATGCATCATCGAACAGTGATCGTCTAGTCCAATTTATTTCTATAAATTATGCATTCAACAAAACTTTCATCATCTTCCACCACGAAACCATCAGCAACCACAACAACAACAACAAATATTGAACAATATCATTATCCACCTATATCAACACTTCGTCGTGCAAGTCGACCAAGTAATATTGATTTATCTATATTTGATCATAATAATACACAATCATCATCAAATGATCCTGGTATATATTCAGCACCAATATTTTATATAAAACAAACAAATAATAATCATTATCATCATCATCAACAACAACACCAACAACAACAACAACATATTCCACAAACATCTCAACCATATACAACTACATTTCAATTTCAACCTCAACAACATTTACAATTATCTCCACATCATCAGTCACAACAAGAACATAATATACATTTATATCAACAACAACAAATAGTTGATCCATTTTCTGAACATCAACATACACCTCGTACATTTCCATTACAAACTTCACCAAATCATTATCGTCAATGTTTTTATTTTCCACCATCAACATTACAAGTAAGATAATTAAAACAAATATTTCTTTTAAATTAATTTTATTTTCTAAAAAAACAACCAGGTTAATATGACAAATAATGGTCATCAATCAACAAATGCAAGTCAACCATCAACACCAACACATAATAATCATATACGTTCAGTACAAATTCAAGAACCATCACAACAACAATGGTCAAATCCAGTACTTAGTTCATTAATTGTTAAACGTATGAATGAAAATCGTGCATCAATGACAATTGATGATGATGAAGATCCATCAGCTTCAATTGATGCTCTTGTTGGTAGGTTTAATTTGTTTTGCGTCTTTTTTTTTTAAATATGAAAAAAAAACAAATTAGTTGTTTATTCAAATTCATTGAATCATGAATAATATCCGTATCTCCGTTCTTAGCATTTTTTTTTTTACTTTTATAAATCTATTGAGTCAAATTTGACATAAAAATAGACATGAAAACGTTGTTTTTAGCTACAATAAATCAATGACTTTGAAGTTAGATTTTGTTTTTTAAACATATTACAGTGCTAAAAAAATCTAAGACAACTTTTACTTTTCAAACCTATTGAACTTAAAATCATTGAGTCATATATATAATTTGAAAAAAAGAAAAATATAAATTGTTAATGATAAAAGTTCATGGAAATTTCTATGAAGCCTTTCAAGTCCTATTATAATATTTATGGTTATACACTCTAATATAAGATTAAAAAAATGTAAACATTCATTTGTTTAATACGATTGATTAGACGTATATTTCGAGTATGATTGAGTTTGAAGATATAGTAAAATTTTTCTAATATGGACACTCACATGACCGGAAGAATTACTCATTGTTGGAAAATTTTCCGTTCATTCATTGTGTGTGTGTGTAATTGCTTATCGAATGCATATGGTGATGTTTTTCTTCTTGCCGACAATTTATTAATTCAATTTTATGAATCAGATTTAAATCTACACGCCTGGATGTTTATCAGGTGTGAATACAAAAACAAGGATATACATAAAACACTGGAGAAATTTTTATTACTAATGCGATCAAAGATAAGCAACCACCACTATTCAGTATAAGGTGTTTACATAGAGAAGTTTTACTGTATTTAGTAAATCTTACGAAATTTTGTAAAAAAAAAATGCTTTAGCAATAATAGTGTCTCGAGGTCAAAGGTCGATGACTCATGCGACTAATTGGAATTTTTTTTTTGCAAACAGTTTATCGAATTTCAAGGAAGAAGAACGTTGAGGTTCATTATCTAGAATCCATCGGATAGATTTAGATCTGAAAATATTTTCAATCAATAACAAATTTAACTTGATTTTAATTTTGTTTTTTAGCTGATGATGATTCAAATTCTCATGATTTACTTGATGATGAACAAAATAAATCAATGAATCAATCGAAAACTTCGTCAACAATTCCGCCAGGTACAATATCACCCTCATCACATTTATATCTTCGTAGTAAATCACATATATTAACAACACCACCTAATCCACTTGCATCCGATGATCATCCTGATAATCAATTAACAGTTGGAAATACATTTAAAAAAACATTTAGTCCTATATCAAGTGCCGGTTTTGAATTAACAACTACAACAGCAAATAATAATAATAATAATAATAATAATGGTAAAATATCATCATCAAATACAACAAAAGGAACATCACGTTTTAATTTTGATACAAATATTCTCGAACAAAAAGAATTAAAAAAAAATCAACATAATGAAAATTTAATTGATGATAATGAAGAAACTAATCATGATTTAATAACTAAACCACTTATTATAAATACAGATGTTCGAACAACAAGAATATCTTCAAATAGTTTAATTCAAGATGATAATAGTAATCATAGTTCAACAAATAGTAGTTCTCAAAATACATCATCAAGAATTTTTGGTCAGATGTTAAAATCTTCAGGTAATTAAAAATAAAAGAAAAAACAATGTCAAATATTTGATTAAATTATTTTCTAGAACAGCAAATATTATCTTCTTCATCACCAATTTCAAATGATATTAAATTATCATCATTAGATCATGATACAAATTTCAATTCAATATCATTACAACAACAGAATCGACATTATTGTGCACATCCAGATTGCAATAAAGTAAAAAAAAAAAACAAAAACCATTACATCCAATTAGACACTAGACGTTTTGTTTTGTCTTAGAATTTGTTAAGAAAATATCTGAAAGAAGATCTTTTATAATATCAATTATGAAAACAAAAGTTTATTTGAAGGAAACAGGAAATTTCCATTATTAATTTCCGACAATACGCAAATTTGATTTTCCTATAGGTCAACATAGTTAACTCGGAAATTCATATAATCTATATTTCATATAGAATATTAATATAAGAAATCAGGAAATAATCAACTATGAATTTTAGAACATTTTCTGGACTTTGGATACAACCCGATATGAATAACATATTGACTATAGGTGATACAAGCGAAAATTTTTAGTGGTAAAAATAAATTTTTTGAAAATCATGTTTAATTTAAACTTTCGATAGTTTGTCGTAGTCTGTTGAATTGTGAATAGACGCATAGAAGATTATGCATGTCGTGCAAACCACAATTCTTCCGCTCGGTTTGTTTTTATACCTTCCTGCATAAATATTTTAAAACTCAATGAAAAATGTTAGATTTCAGTCAAAATTATGTCTTCTCTCGAATGTGAACATGCTCATGTCACATGTACCAGTCACACTGACTGCTTTCGCATTTGATTATTCATTGAAGATGACGCCATATATATAATTAGTCATTAGATAAGAATGAATAAATCAGTATCAGTAGGAAAAAATATGGCGCCATCTGAAAAAATGTTTTTTTTTTTGGCAAGATAGAAAATATGAATTTAATAGAAAAGCTTATTTTAAAAAAAGTAGTAAAATAAAATCTTGACGTTATGAATGAGTTTAACACTCAAATGTCTAACAAAAGATTATCTCGCTTGAGCATTTAACATACCACAAATGTATGTTCATTTTTTGAGAGCTTAGGAATTCCTTTTCTTGATAATAGGCCAGTTTATTGTGGAAATGTTGTTGTTTCTTTTTATGCAATAAAACAGCTCGATAATTATGTTAGATTTTCTCAATAAAAATTGATCTATCATGAGAACAATAAGAATGTTCCTAGAATAAAGTACTTTTCATAAATAACTTCATTTTCTTAAGGGTACATCTTCCCTGTCGTTTCCGAGGTTTTTGAAGAACGGCTTATTAGAAAATGTTGAAACTTTCAGGGCAGATAGATCTTGATGAATAGAGTAAAAGTTGTCATAAACACAATGTTCTCGGATGCTGTCTTCTAGGAGATATTGGGGTCACAATGGACAAAATTGACCCCACTTTTCGCCCTCGTTTCTCCGCTCAATCGAGCTGAAATTTTTTTACAAGTGCTGAACACTATTTGGAATGCGTTTAGCTTTTGGTTTCCTTATATCTCTTGTTCTTCGAGTAAAAAAGCCAAAATACTCCACACGTCCTAAAAGCGCTTATTTCTTTTATTAGGGCAAACTTTTCAAAAGCCGCGAAAAATGGTCAAAGCAATATTTTTTGAAATGAAAAAAAAAAAATACACACCCAAAATAATGTCTAGTATGTCAGAAAAAAAATTCAGCCCGATCGGATGTACCGCGGTCGAGAAACGAGGGCGAAAATTTACTTTTTTTGTGTAAAATTTAATGTCGAGAAAAACGCAAAACGAAATCAAATTTCAGTTTTTTTTTGAATAGACATTGTTTTTTTTCTTTCTATTGGAGTTGTTGTAGGTTTTCAACTATTGCACATTCGATGAGGTTGTTTTCGCGATCAGAAAATATTTTTTACAGCTGTGAGATGCTTGTAGTCAGAGAGCAACGGCATATCAATTGAAAGTTATCTCTTGTTTTCACATCTATCTTGGACAGAGAGAAAAGCAGAGGTGAAAGAATATAGAGTGCTATCGGCAGATTGTAAATGATCGACGAACAAACGAAAGAGACGCAGCCGCAGTTGTTGAATTCTTAAACGCAAAGACGAAATATTTTGAAAACACAGTAAAAAATCATTTTTTTAGATAGAGGGTCTCGAAAATGGTTCTTTTCGAGGATAAAACGTTGTTAAAAGAATTTTTTTTTCACAGATCAATAGAGAACACTTCAAAGTATATGAATCGATGAAAAACAAAAAATCGAAAAAATTTTGATTTTCACCTCCAGAAAGGTGCGGGCGGGGGGGGGGGTACCCTTAAACAATTTGATTCTTACTACTATTAGAACTATATTCCAAATGATTTCATTATTTTCTTTAGACATTCACTAATAAAAGTGCTTTAGCAAAGCATAAATTAACTCATAGTCAAGATCGTAAACATGTATGTGCAAAATGTAATAAAGGTTTCAAACGACTTGATCATCTGTAAGTAAATAATATTAAATAAATAAATAAAATATTTTTTTTTTTTTTTTTTTATTGTATAGTAATGGTCATATGTTAACACATGAAGAAGAAAAACCACATAAATGTCGTGTACCAAATTGTAATCGTACATATTGTGATGCACGTTCATTAAAACGACATATTGAAAATACACATCAAGATATATTAGCTGCGATACATGAAGGAAAACATAATGAATATAAAAAATATTTACCTGAAACAGCATTTGTTAAAACAAAAGATTTATCAATAAATAATGAATTTTCAATTGATTCTGTTGATAGTAATTCTCCACGATCATTAATTGATAATGAACAATCATTTAATATTCGAACATCAACTGGAACTAAAACTCTGACAACTTATACGTAAGTTTGAATCCAAAAAAGACAAAAATAATTTTTTTTTTTTTGTTTTCTCTTCTATACTGTTTGTTTTTTTCGTATTAAAATAGATTCGATGAACAAAAATATGTTGACTGTCAAATTTGTAAGAAATCATTTAAAAATGGTGCTGCACTTAATGGTCATATGCGTTTACATGGTGGATTTATTGACGTATGTTAAGATTTATTTTTACTTCTTTTTGTAAAATACGATCAAAATATGTTAATCAAAAATTTTAATTCTTTTGAAAGTATTCTCAAACAAATCAAAAGCCTACAGATTAGGACCAGCATAGTTTATACTTTCAGAATATGATCTTAAAAATTTATATCTCAGTTTTGGTTCGAAAGTAGTAATAGGATTTTTTTCAAGGCAAAATTATTCAAGTGATCTGTAGAATAATTCTAATAGTACATTTTATAGGGTAGTGTACGGAAAATTCCGAAACTTATGACAGACACCTTAGTATAATGTCCACACTGTCTCTTCATCACAGGCTGTGATAATCGTTCTTGATAAATTGATTAAAGATCGTATATTACTAACGTCTCATTATAATATGTAGATATATATATGGGAGTGACCAGTCAGTATGGTACCCCATTTTGATACACTCCTATTGTAAGGATAAAACATACTATTGCTCGGGTCATATAAGAGAGAATCCTAGATAACCCTTGATTGGCCCGAACAACATCATGTTTTATCCGTATAATAGTAGAGAAAAGCGACCAACTCACACGATAAGCTAGTAGCTTTTCTCAACTATTGTACGGATAAAACATGATGTTGTTCAGGCCAATCAAGGGTTATCTAGGATCCTCTCTTATATGACCCGAACAATAGTATATTTTATCCTTACAATAGGAGTGTATCAAAATGGGGTACCATACTGACTGGTCACTCCCATATATATATATGAACTACTTCTTTTCTTTATTGTAGAAGCCAGTACCATCATCAACTGATAATACAGAAAAAAAGAAACGTATAACAACACCAATAAAACGAAAACGTGTCAATTCTCCATCAGTATCTATAAAAATAAAAAAAGAAAAACAAGACTCATCAATGATTTCATCAACAAATAATCTATATCAACAAAAATCATCATTTATAAGTTTATCATCATGTCCAAATGTTATTCCAAAACATTTATATGATCAAACATCATTATCTCCTACACGTCCAGCATCATTATCTCCATCTAATATTCCAATTTCAACATCAACATTTCCTCAATTTACAATTAAAAATCCGTTAAGTGTACAATCAACAACAAAACAAAATCGAAAAACAAATCCATTATCTACACAAGATTTTCATCCATCTCGAATTAATATTCAAAATGTAATTATACCACATGATCCAGTGATAAATCCACAAATATATCTAACAACATCATCACCATTACAATCATATGAAGATAAAATAAAAGAATCATTATCAACTGAAAATTTTTCTCAACATCTACAGGTACTATGATATTCAGTAAATAAAACAACATTATCTGCAGTAATTTATATGAAGAAATAAAAAGAATAACTAGAAACTATAGAACCTAAGAAATAATAAACAGAAAAGTCAATCATGCGACTATAATCGCATTATTGACTTTTTTGATTTTTAAATAGTTTAATAAAAGACCTTAACATTTGTAAATAAAATAGTATTGTAAGGTAAGAAATAAAATCCAATGATTTTTTTTTTTTCGTCAAATATCAAATTAGCAAAAAACAAAATAATTTCATTGAGATGAAATTATTCTAAGACTAAACCAATACTTTTGATGATATAATTCTCGAAATCATATTTAGCAGAATAATGAAAATCAAACATGGTATCTCGATGATTTATATTATTTATCAATCACTGTTTCAGCTTATATTGGACTTACAAAGATAGCTTGGTAAGACTAGAAAAATGGGCTCGCTTCATATGTCAATCAGACAAGTTATGGTCGTTTTACTAAATTTCAATTCACCTTTAGATACTTTCGGAAAAACTAACGAATGGAATTTCGACTTAAATTTTAACCCATAAATAAATCTAATGATCCATAGAATATTCTTTTATCGAGATAATGAACTTCCACAATCATAATTTAGCTTCAATGGTTCATGACGATGAGTCCATTTAAATTTTTGCTAGTTTCACCATAGCGATCTTGTAGTCCTAATTATAAGCCTAAACGGCGAGTAACACTTCAGACAGTTCTCTCGTATGAAACAATAAAATGATTAATCTGATTCCTAAAGTTTCGCCGGCTCTGATTCTCTAGTTATTTATAAAAATACCACTCTTTATTGACACTTCGAATCAGTCCGAATATATCTGTAACTAGAAAAAAAAATCGAATATGATTTTTCATAGAAAATTATCATTTTAGGCGAATGGAATACCTTTACATCAAACATATCTTCGAACATCACCTTATCAATCTTCATCACATATTTCACAATATTCAATAAATTCATCATCATCATCATCATTTCCAACAAATCCAATAGCACCAAGTCTATTCTATCATTTTATTCCAAACGTTGAACGACTCACACCAGATTTTTGTCTTCAACAACAAACATCTTCACCATTAAATGAACCTATTCATTATTCACCATCACCAAATTTTGGTCATATAGCTGGTAAGAAAAAAAAAACAACATATATAAATACATATATTAATTATTAGATGAAAGAAAAAAAAAATTGTTTCTTTTTTTCATAGTACCAAATTCAAATCCATTAATTATAAATACACCGATAACATCACCATATTCAAATCAATATCTTAGTCATAATTCACCAAAATCCCCAGACCAAAAGTGCAATAAAAATAATAATAGTATGCAACTATCACCAACAACACATTCAACATCTTCATCATGTTCATCTTTATCATCATTAAATATTGTAGCACCAGAAAAACAAATTCAAAATACAATGAAACAAGAAATACAAGATGATAAACAACAAATAAATATTGAAAATCAAACATCACCATTAGCAGTACTTGAAATTGTTCCTGATATTGATAGTCCAATAAAAAAAACTTCAATATCAGGTTTTCTTATTGGTACACCATCATCAACTAGTACAAGTTCAGCATCATCATCATCAACATCAAATAATACACATTTTAATTATGATGATGTTCCACAGAGAAAGAAACCTGAACCTACTCCAAGTTCATTTTATTGGCCATCACAATTACGAAGACAATTAAGTCTTAATCAAACAAATAAAATATTAAATCCACTTCCATCAACTCCATATACACCACCACCAATGCTTAGTCCATTTCGAAAAGGTCCTGGTCTTTATTATCGAGTTTTTTCTCAACCAGGAACATCAACAGAACCATCATCAATACCAGCAACACCTCTTCCACCAAGTACACCTATTGGTGAAGAATCAGCAGGTCCTAAAATTAATATTGGTAAAGATTATCAAGCAATTATTCCTAAATATCGAACGAAATTTGACGATAACGATGATGAAGGTTTGTACAATCAAAGAAAAAAAAAGAATATTTTATTAATCAAATTGATATAATATGAGAATTAGAATTTCTTTTTTTCTTGTTCTTACAATCAAAATAATTGATCAATAGAAGAATAAAACTCGAACGATTAATTTTTTTCTAAACGCTTCTGTAGTGTTTAACATAATGTAATAAGGGATATGAATTAAAAGAATCAGTGTCCTATTCGAACTTCTCTCTATGGGCTTTTACAGCTGAATTATGAATCTCATTAGATCTATTTATAGATACAAATACAGACCAAAATTCTATTATTTGATTTTTCAGGAAATATCTAAAGCTGGGTTGAAAATTCAGTAAAACAACGCTGACCCATTTTTCTAGTCTTACGAAGATCTCTTTGTGAGTCCAATATAAACTCTAAAGGATTCGAATCCATGATCTAGTGATCAAATATTATGACTGTTTTAATGAAATTTTTACTGAGAACAAATCAATACCGAGAAAACGAACATGTCTTACTCAATTTTCAAGTACATTTGACTATTATGTCTTCATCAATAGACCATATACTCGAGTCCTTTATATGATTTGCTTAATCCCATAGCAGTGACGTATCCAGGATTTTTCAGTATGCTGAATCTCGACTTCCGAGTGTGGGACCCAGATGAAACTCATGGAGGGTGATGCTGGGTCCAAATGATGAAATTTTATCAAAAAAAATTTGCACTCGGAGTTTGCGAAAAAAATTTGCATTTTCCTGATCCCCCCTCCTAGGATTTTTTGCTGTTAGTAGCATCTTAATTTTTAGAATTTCATAGGAAGCTATACCGAATTTCATCGACAAATTTCAAATTTCGTCT